TCTGTCTAATAAGTTTTAATGAGTGTTTAATTTTATTCCTATTAAATATATATGTTTATTTTTTCACAACAATGTTTAATGGATGATAAATGAAGAAATTTGTGATAAACCTTTAATGAAATAATTCATAAATAGGATAAAAAATAGGGAGAATAACAATTAAGTCTTAAATGATTGAGTTAATGATAATTATGTCGCTGACCAAATTTTTTCAAAATAAGTTGTATATATCGATTCAAACAATTACAAACATAAATACCTATTATAATATAAGGGTTACATTTGATATTTAAATATTTATTTACAATTAAAATTTTACAATTTGCAATTAATATATATTTAAATGAAATCATCATTCTCATTAAAATATATATTGTTTATTCTTTTAATCTTTGTCCTAATTATCAATACATTTTTTAGACAAGTGAGAGATAAATTTACATAAGATTTTAGATTAATAAATGGAGGATGAGATGAGAATATTTTTTGCATATATTCACTCCTATTCCATTTATAAGACACATTTTAAAAGATTTATTTGATCCTATTTATAAATCATGGTGCAGCTTTTAAGTAACAGTTGAAAGATATTTTCAAAATTGTCGCTCATGAAAAAGAAAAAATAACATAACATTACTTTTTAAATTTGTTACTCCCTTTGTTAAAAAATATAAAGTATTTTTTAAAAAGTTGTGTGTTTAAAAATGTAAGATATTTTTAATTTTTTAAAGTGTAATTATTGTTTTTTTTTCTAAAAGTACTCCTGTTGATAAATGACTTTATATTTGTTGTAGGATATTTAATAAAGATAAATATAAAAATATAAAATTAGTTTAAAAATAAGTAATTATTTTATTAAAAAATAAAATTTAATTAAAAATATTTTATTTTTTTTAATGGAGGATACATGTAACAGCATATTTAAAATTTTAGATACTTTATTTTTTATAATTTTTTAAATCAAGAGTAGATTATAAAAATGATTATATTTTGCATAGGATGATTTCTTCTTCTCATTCACGCCACCTGGCGAACAGATGTAAACCCTATTATTAGGGTTATACCTAAACCTTCTCCCTATGAAGGCAAAGGCGGAGGATTGTCTTGGAAGCAACACTGAATATACAATGAATCAACTTTTCTTCTCCCTCCCCCTCTCAAAAAGAATCATGCTGACACACCTGAACCTATGCTCTCTTACCCATTTCCTAAATTTGCCTCTCTTATATAATTATACTTAATTTTATTCTTACATGATAAAAGGTTAGCAGCTTTGTTGGTGCACTCGCCAATTTATAATTCCTTCACCAAACCAATGTGTCGTTCTTCATGTATTCCTTACAAATATTCCCTTCTTTAAAATTATATGATATTTTAAAAAAAATTATATATTTAAATATTTTTAAATTTTTTAAAATATAATCACTATCTTTTTAAAAAATACCTCTATTAAATAAATCACTTTATATTTATTTTAAGATTAAACATCCTATTTAATAAGATTAAATATAAAAAAATAAAGTTAATTTAAAAATAATTAACTATGTTATTGAGGGTAAGATCTGATTAAAATTTTTTTACATTAGATGGAGGAAGTATTACTTTAGGGATAAAACCATTCATTACCACACATCTATTTTGTATGTGCCACGTACATGAAAACGGGGTATTATTCTTTAGGATTTTATGCGTGTGGACTTTAATTAGAGTTAGCGAGTAATATTGAACACACACACACATATATATTACTCTGTAATTTATGAAAATAATAATAAATGTATGGGTTGGATGAGAAGAGAGGCACGGAACAAGTAGATGACAAAGAAAGGACATGTGTTTGGATTTGTTGTTCCTCTTTTGGTAGATATGCAGCTTTTTATAGCGCCATGCTTACCTGTTCCCCCTAAGCCTCTTTATATTGATGTGTTGATAATGCATAATTAATTTATCAAACATTTAATCAGCTTTTTATTTCTATCTTTCACGTCACCTTTTTTATTCTTCAAAAGTTGATGAGTCAGTGGGGCCCCATAGCTCCACGTTTCACAGTTGAAATTTGAAAGTGCCTTTTTTTTCCCCAATCAAAACCACTGCACCCATTATTGACCACTTTTTCACAAAAACCTACTTCTAAAAAGTTATACTTTGCAAGTGTAGTAGGTACGGGATGCTCATCATCATTTACAAATATATATATATATATATATATTTGCATTTGCATGACCTCATTATCGTTACTATTTAGTATTCATATTTCAAAAGATAATTATGACCACTTTGATTAACTCGCAAGTTAGAAATTCAACTCGACCAACAGCTGTTGCATGTGACAAGGGCACAATTGTATCTTCAGTTTCAAAGTTGTTTGCTTTCTTATAACATTTCCATATCACCATGAAAAGGTGCAGCGGGGATATATAAATATATCAAAAAATATATATTATTAATATATTAATGTTAAAGAAATCTAAATATAGCAAAAGTTGATAATGCATTTATGATGAGAAGTGGATGTTGAGGAAGGAGACAAGAGGGAAAGCAACACGCACAAACTTCCCTGCACTATCCAATCTTGCTCACTGGCTGATGATAGACAATGAATTAAATTAAGAATTCCGATCTCACCACCCCAATTCTTTATTTTCTTAAAAAAAATAAATGCTCAAAAACAGGGAGATTTTTCTTATTATTAAAAATAAAACGAAGAATCTAATGAAACGATGCGTGTCAGAAATAATCAGCGTTGTAAAGCTGGCAAACTTGACCCAAAAATAAGGACTTGGATTGGATGTCACGCAGGTTCATGTTCCCCATATCTTTCTTCAACGTCAGGATTTCTTCTTCCCAATCACTCCCACCTATCACATCTCTACCCATCTTATAAATGCCAAATCAATCATCCACGACATTCTCCTCATTAATCTCCACCAAAATCATACAAAATCCTTTCAATTACTTGTATTTAGGATTCCCTTTTGAAATTTATGGTTTTTTGTATTTTTATTTATAAAATTGTACCACATCATTTATAAATTTAAATTAAATGCTAGTTTAATTAAATTTATTAAACTTATCAATTTTTGTTCAGCAAATTAAATATATACTTTATAAAATTTAGTTCTTGGATATGTTAAGGTCTAGTTTAAAAAAAAAACTCAAAGCAAAAACTAACATTAATTTAAAAAAGAAATATAAAAAATAAGTTGTCCTCTTTTGAAAGTTCTTTTATTGACTATGATAATTTATTAATGTAAATATATTTAATTTAAATTATGGTCATATTTTATATTTTAATTTTTTAAACATATACCTTTAATGTACATTTATTAATAAAAAAAGTCTTGCAAGTTTACAATTGAATTTACTTAAATTTGCGAGACTGTCACCTTTGACAATAGGTCCTATACATGTGTGGCAAAACGGCATAACATGTGGTGGATGTAAAAGAGTTCAATAATTGGTTATATATGATAACTATGCATGAATTAAGGAAACTAGCTAAAATTAATTAATTATTGCAAAAGTTTAGAATTATCTTCAATAGAGTTTATTGATTATACAATGTTGTTTAATTAGATTAAGAGTTGTAATCGAAGGATATTCGAGGATCATGTGAAAGGTGCTCATAATAAGGATCGGAACTGAAGGGATATTTCAAGAAAAATGCGCTGACTCAGAAAAATATGGCACCAAAATGATCTTTTCTTTTCTTTTGTTCCCCCGAGTTTAGTGGCGGCAAACACTTGATGAATACTCGGAGGTTGGAGCTCATACTGATGGTTGCTGAAGCAGGTGTGGCTCTGCGAGCCCAAATCTGTTAAAATTGGGCCAACTACTGTTAACAAACATGTTTTGGATTTTTATATTTTAGCCCATGATATACCGTCTGGATCTAAGCCCAAGCTAGGTATCGTTCCTAAAGGCTGACCAAGTGGTGAAGGCGATGGGAGGTGTGAAATGTGAGTAAATGCTTAAACTCCCATGGTCTCACAAAAAATGTCTAAGAAATTAAAATAATATATATTTTTAGTCTTTTACACCCCTCTAACTTACACCGGAAACTTTTGTTTTACCGTGTGCAGGTATCTCTTATTATAGATGAGTTCGGGCCCAAAAAAAAAAAAATAGATGAGTGCATTTTTTTAAAAAATAACATACTAATTTACTAATATCCACAGAGAGCAGAATCAGTGAGTAAAAGTGTAGCTAACCATAATGTAGTGTTAGTGATAAAGTGTGAGAAAAATGATCAGGAAACAATAAAGATAAGTCATATAATTAGTGCTCTGTTCTAGAACCTTCAAAGGGGACTTGAAGCCGTTCCTGCACATGTCAAGTTAGCTTATTCAATTTCAAAAACAATGCTAATAATTACGAAGTGTGATTTTCAACAATTGGCCATTTATTGCTGATGCTTACTTCCCCTGGATTAAAATATAGAATATTAGTATTAATTCATAATTTTAAAAAAATGTTAGTTGACACCTATTTCTTTTTATTTACATATTTTTAATTTTACTTTCATTAAATACTTTATATAAGTGTTTTGATAATAATAATTTAAATTTCCATGCATCAATTTTTTACAAAAGAGTAATAAATGAAGTAAATGTAGAATTAGCAAAACAATTATAGAAGTTACTTAATACTTTATATTTTGAATTAAATAAAGTTTCTACAAGATGTCATATATGGTGGTTCAAAAAGTAATTTTTAAAAACTAGAGCACTATTATATGTATGGGTGCCTTGATATGTTATCATGGTGTTGCGCTTCGCAAATGTACGGGTGTAACACCCTCAAAAATACAAACCGATTTTTCGCAAATTATTAAAACCATTATTATGGTAGAAAATTTTCTTACCATGATACATCCAAGACAATATACCACAGGTCTTAAAATATCTTAAAAAGCAATTAGAACCATGAGGGACAGTCAGGATCCTCATGGCATGATATTTAAATTAGGTCATGAATCAAGAGGGACAAACATAATCCTCTTAGTCAAATAAATACTTTTAATAAAAAGGATTAGAGTTTACATGCTTCACAAAGAAGATATGTCCTAAGTTGGCACAAGATACATTGTATAATTCAAAACAAGAGGCAACGTAAAAGATGGTGTTTCATACACCATAGTTACACCTCTGGTGCTTTCTCGACCGGACTCGCTCCTGTAAAAATATTAACCACGGGGAATGAGACTTAAAAGTCCCAGTAACCAAAAATTAATATGTAATGATGCATGCGGATGTAACTAATCATGCGATTGCTAAGTGGGCACACAAAACATTTAACCGAACAATATTTCCAAACAAACCGAACAAGTATTTAATTGCATGACTACACCTTATATCCTCCTTTCACCATGCTCGGACGCCAAATCACCCGGCCAAAGGTGAGTTGGACCAAGCGACACGCCACTCATTGGGTCCAATGAGGGCTTACCACGTGGTAATAATTAACCGAACAGAAATTCTCATTAACACCATACATTAAAATACCCTGATAAGTCATGCATCATTCAAATATCCAAACAGGAATATATCCGAACAATAATATTTCATCATGATAAACAAAAATAAATTTTTAACCCACTTGGCAATAATTTCAAACAAGTACATATATACAGTATTTATTTTCATTAATTCATATTTTTTTTCAAACAATAAAACAACACATAACCATTCACAAACACACCCCTCACAACACATTAATAATGGTTACCTTGTGTCTTGAATAGCAAGTTCCCCTTCACAACTCCTTTTTCACCACTATCTTTGTCAATATAATCTACATAATTATTTCATAATACTATATATTAATTTTACATTAAAATAAATAACTCTAATTTAAATAGTTAGAAAGTCTTAGATCTATAATCCATATTAACACTAATTTAAGATTTATGCCTCATTTAACTTCCTAAATTCTTTTCTAAAATTCTTGTACCCTAATAAACTATTTTTTTTATCCTCAAATCACTTCTAGTATCACAATTTCATCCTTCTATATTCTAAAAATTCGTCCAAAAATAAATTAAATTTTAAAATTATCTTGAAGCCTCAAATCACCTTTCTATAACCTCAAAAATACCTATTCATACTTAAATAAATATTTAATAATTATAGGTTTATCCCTACATCTCAGATTCCACATAAATTCAACCATATAGATCTAGATTTTAACTCAAAAATTCTTAAACATGAGTTTCAACCTCAAAAAAATATTCTATAATATTTATTATATCCCTAAGAGTTTTAACCTATATTTTTAATCCATCATATCATCAGATTAACTATCCTATAGAAAAAATCCTAATCAAAATATTCACTCTATCCTACAAAATAATCATATCACTAGAAAGCTAATATTATTTAGAAAATAACTATAAAATTAATTTTGTAATTAAATAAATTTTTAAATGCTAATCTAAATAGGAAAGTTAGAACATACCTGAAGAAAAAGAAAATAATCCCCCTTGCGAGAAAACGCCGAGCAACGTGAGAAGAAGAGAGAAAAATAATATAAAAATGGGATTGTGAGTCCCAAAATTATATTAAAAAAAACTATAGGTCTGAATTTAATTATTCAAACCTTTGGGCCAAAAGTTGCAATTTCCTCTAAATTGCATCTTAGCCTCTCATGCTTCCTAATGCACACACCCCCTCCTTTTTATACATGAAGGCACCTCTTCTCTTCCCTCATCTAACCAATGTGGGACTTAGAAACAACAACCTTTCACCCCCCCTTTTTTTTGTTCCTTCTACCTTCTCTTTTTTTTTAACACACACATAAAAAAAATTATTTATGTATTATATCTTAACTAAATATTGCTTATGTGGTTTTAAATTTAAATTTTTAAATTCATAATTAAATACCTAATCATAATATTATTTCTAAATAACCTCAAATAATATAAATTCCTATTATTATCATTTTTTTTCCTCAAAACCTAAATTCCACAATTTCTTTATTATATAAAAATCAGGATGTTACAACGGGCAATGACAAGTAATAAAGTGTGAGTAGAATATTGTTTTCACATAAATTTGTTTAAAAATATGGTTAAACAAAAGACATTGCAAATTCAATTACATTGAGCAAAAACATAATTACATAAAGATGATTTTACAAACTAAATTAATATTATAAAATAATGAAAAGCAATTAATTCAAGATTTTTTGAAAGTAATTAATTACGTCTAAGATTATTTATCCCCTTTTATACTTCAATAATACTCAATCCCAATATATTTTGCTATTAATGATGAATTATGCTAGTCAAAGATGCTAAGTTACCCACAAGTCCTCTCTTAAGTCTCCAAATAAGTGTTTAGTTTAGTTAATCCTTTAATTTCTTACTTAACTAATTACATTCCATTTTTTTACCAATTCCATGTGATTATGTGAGATTAATGAGTGTATATCTATCTCATTAACAAAATTATCCATTTAACTTGCAAATTTTAAGTTCTCACACAATTTTATCTAAGTTTTACACTCAAGTTAGTTCTCTCAAGCATCACCCAAGTGAATCTAATATCTAAATGGTAGTTAAACACTTAGAAGCATTAAGTATAGAGTAAAATCAATATAATCACATCATTAATCACAAATACAAAGGGGAAATGAGTATCTAATCCATACATACGGTTCAAAATAATCCTAGAATCAAGGATTTAGCTACAAATGTTTATAAAACCCATGAGAAAATACAAACACATCAGCACAAATATTGAACAAGAGGAAATGAAGGAGAATGGATAGGAAGAACCAAGATGTGAAGCCAAAATTTCTTTTAATCTTCAAATCCAAGCTCAATCTCTACCAAAATTCATGCCCTAACACACCCAAAGCTCTAAAATACTCCCAAAAGTCCAAAATGGAGAATAGGTCATTTATAGTCTAAAACCTTAACTTTATCGACTAAATAAAACATCTCATTTTTCTATCACGTCAATGGTCACGACTTTAAGACGACTTTAACAATTTTGCACTATTTTCACTATTAACAAAACTTAGCCTTTATGCACTTGACTTCTTCATTTAAAAGCATTTCAAAAGCATCAACAAAAGTTTAAAAGTGCATCCAATTAAACCTTAAAACAAAATATCAATGAATTAGCTTCAAAATATTAAAATAGAGTTATGGTTTGAATTTCTATAATATATACATTTTTCTAACTTGAATATTTAAAATATGTACAACTGTGTCAAAATATAATATCTAAGGAAATTGTGTTCAAATCACATGAAATTTTAGAGGTTAACACATGGCTCACGTGCTACTACCTTTAGAATACTTTAAACTTACTTCTATCAGTTACTTCATCTAATGAACACAAAGAATATTTAAAAGAAAATTCAGTAGAATTCTTGAATAAGATGTGAAAAATAATTGTGATGAGAAGTGAAAATAAGATATAGTAGAATATACTTGCAAAGGATTAAGAGAATGAGGGAGCATCTTATTGCCTTGTCTATTTGGAACATTTGAAGAGTGAGACAAAAAGAAATAAAGATTAATATATAATTTAAACTTTGAACTATAGATTTAGAAATAATTTGAACTCTAAACTTTTAAAAAGTTCATTTTGAACTCTAAATAATTAAAGTTAAAGTAATTTCATACCTATCATAAATTTAAATAAACATCTGTCAAATTGAGATTCATATGCGATTCCACCAAATACGGATAAGGAAAAGCGAGAGAGTGAAATTTGATGCAAATTATACATTAGACCCCAATTTGATGGATGTTTATTAAAATTTAATTATAAAGGCAACATTAATCCTAACTTTATTATTTACAGTTCAGAATGCACATTTTAAATTTTAGAGTTTAAATCGTCCCTATATCTATAATTTGAGGTTCAAATTATATATTAACTCAAGAAATAATTAGTTGTAAAATGCATAATCTAAACTATGTGGAAAAACCAAAATGATTTACTTGAACATCTATTAATGATTGAAAAAAGATGAAAAAATCTTTGCCCATAGCAATAAACATACATAATACTCTGCTGCTTATTAATTTGATATGATAACTCCCATATTATTTTTATTGTAATTTCCTATCACCACAAGTGTGGCCTTTAGAAAAAGTAAATAAATAAGATACCAAATACCAAGAGTCACAAATGAAAATAGAAGTTGAAATTGAATAAACCCTTATCAACTTCATAAAATGCTATAGCCTTACCTTTCCCTTCTTCTGCTATGAGCTAATCGAAGAAGCTGCAGATATAAAGGGGAAAAAAAAAGGAAAACCAAATCATAAACTACTAATTTAAAATTGAGACACTTATTAAAGAATGAACTTAAAATTATTCACCAAATTCAAATCACTCAAAGCATGGATCAAATTTTAATGATTATGACTTACTATTTACAAAATTACTATTAAAATAATTTTAGAAAATCTATGTGCAGGTTCTTATAATTTCTCTAAATTTTGAATTAGGCCCCTATACTTTTTTTTAGTGAACCCTTAATTTGAAGTTTTATATTTTTAATAAAATATTGTATAGCTTTATAACTAATTACATAATTTTTTATAACTCAAAATTTATATAATTATATTGTTTTCTAAATAATTTTTATACATATAGAATTTTTATTAAAAATAATGAAATATAAATAATGTTAAAATAATTTCTTTTGGCTTAAAGTATTGAATCAAATTTTCTATAAATTCTAAGGTATTTTTATTTTGAAAAAATGTACTAATTAAGTATTAATTTTAATTTTAAATATTAACATATTTAGTGGTTCAAACTATAAGAGTTGATTAAAATAAAATAAACTATTAGAATCTAAATTAAAAGAGAAAAAACTATAAGAACTTGTAAATAAATTTTCCCATAAATTATTTAAATTTATTTATTATTTTTATAATTTACATTTGTTAAATGTAACATCTAACTATTTAAAATTTAATTCAAACAAAAAATAGAAAATATAATTGGAGTGGAGGAAGAAAGTCAATTTCTTTAATTCACTAGCTTATCGAGTGTACTCTACGCAGGCGACCCAATTTCTCATTTTATTGTTGTTCCATTATCATTTTCATTTTCGGAAGAATGGACTCGTGACACAGGCATGCCCATAGGCCAAGAGAACCGAGCTTCCAGATAAAAATGGTGATAACGGTCGGAGAAGCTTCTCTTTCTCCCTCTGTTGCAGTCGTCTCCGCTGCCAAACATCTTCTAGATTCAGAAGTTGCTTCGCCCGAGCCAGTATCTCTATCCGTAGAAGAATCCAACACACCCACATATGGATCCTGGGCACCTCTCAACCAGGTAGGCACATCGATGCCCATATGTTACCCTCCTTCCTCCTGAGTAATTATTTCACTTCCTTTCGAAATGGGTGTTAATATTATCCACTTAACTAATTAACTGGGTCTTTGATTCGATTAAGCTGGAGAGGGAAGGTTCCGTTCCAGTGTGCCAGTTTTCTTCCCTTGGTTTTAATGTCTTTTTATACGCTGAAATGAGCTCGAGCCAATTGATTTTTGCTAAATGAATGGATCTCTGTAAGAGACGAGCTTGTAAAGGGTGGTTGAGTCACCAACTGTGCAATTTGAGTGGTTGGTATGAAACATGACTCAAATTTAGCTCTTATCCAAAGTAGCAGTTAGCAAAATGTGTCCGCGGGGGTAGAGAGACTGAGCATGTGTCATTAATTTTCAATTAAACAGTCTGCTTCAGTATGGTAAAGTGAACCAATACAAACTGGCACATTTCGGAAACTAATTTTTTTTTTTTTCACGATATTCAGCTGCCCA